CACACGCGAGGCTTCGGCGGTCTCCTCGCCTTCCGCCCCTTCCACTGAGCTTGGCGGCTTTGATGTCCGTGATGTGGACGAGGACAAAGATGTTTTCAGAACGCCTGGACCGGGGGGCTGCAAGCAAACAGCTTATCTCCACTGGCTCATGATTCCTCGCAGAAACCTCCAAAGGCTTCTTAAAATGAGGCGATCGAGCAGACTTGTGTGTTAAAGGAAGAGGCTGCCCCGGCGGTAGGAGATTGTTTATGCCATTTTGCAGGTCTGAGCCGTCGGCGAGCGGCTCCCTTACTTCTCGGCAACGTGTTGTTGTTGGCAGTGTGCTCGTCTTATCTCATGCACTTCTGGATTCTCCTGACATTTCCCTTCATTATGCACCGAAAATGAAAACAAATTCCAGGTGGCTAATGTTTACACCCGGTGAGCGCTTGCATCCCAATCCCAAACCAGTCCCCTCGGCGGAGAGCCTTTTCGGGATCACCTGGCCTGCTGAGCTTGACTTCAGACACTCCCCTGGTTCCACAGTTGCACTGGGGTGGAAAAGTCGGTCTTCTCCACCGATCGCAGGCTGGCCCTGGCCACACAGCTGTGAGCTCCGTCACGCGGTGGCCTCTCGAGACTCCGGGTCTGGCTCTTCTGCCACTTGTCCCTTCGAGGCTCTGCGGGTGGGAAGCTGAGCCCAAGCTGCTCCCCTAAACTATCAGGTGTCTCCACCTCTGTCCTGTCACAATACTGTTGGTTAATCCGGCTCAGGCCAAAGCTCTCTGGTCAAGCTTCGCCTGCCCTGTCCTGGGGTCGGGTCAGCTGCAGCACTTGCGCGTTCTGTGTGGACGACAGACTGCTGGGGGCTGGCTCGGGCCACCTGGGGCGCTCGCACCTGTCGGCGCCGGTGTGTGCCCAGGGCCTGGCTCCTGCCTGACCTGGTCAGTCTCCCTGCTGGCCCGGACACACTGCATCTGCTGTATTTAGTAGATGTGCCTCTCGTGGCCCTCAGTTTTCCTATGAATGCCTTTAACCACAGATGACATAATTTATTGTGTCAAAGCAACAAACCCCCATAATATATCTTTTTTTTTTTAAAGATTTATTTATTTGTACATACAGAACTGGGGTACAGGCCAGAGGCTCAGGGGCGACGAGAGGCTTCACCAGAGACAGAGTGGGGAGCAGAACAGGCAGATCGATGAAGTACACTGCTGAGGGGAGCAGTGGGCGGGTCAGGAGGGGTCTGCCGCGCCCTGTGGTCACCTCTGGGGCAGGCGGGGATCGAACTCATGCGGAAGTGGCTTCAGCTTCTCAGTGTGGTGCTTTAACCCGCTGCGCCACCAGGGAGGGCCACCTCCATAATATATCTTAAGGGAGAAGCTTTTAGAAAGACATTTTACAAAATGTCTACAAAAAATACCTTAAAATACATAAAACTCTTAGATATATAGATCCTAAATATATATAATTTAAATACATACTTAAAGAAATATATATAAATATATATTTAAAGATTATTTATGCACACAGAACTGGGGTACAGGCCAGAGGCCCAGGGGTGGCCTCTGGTGAGAAGCTTCCCCAGAGACAGAGCGGGGAGCAGAACAGGCAGATTGACCAAGTCCTGCTGAGGGGAGCAGCGGGCGGGTCGGGAGGGGGTCTGCCGCACCATGTGGGTCACCTCCAGGGCGGGGATTGAACTCTTGCTGAGGCGGCTGTGGCCAGCTTCTTGTAGGGCTGTGCTGTAACCTGTTGTGCCACCAGGGAGGGTCAGCAAATATATTTTTATTTATTTAAGCAAATACATTTAATTAAGAACATATAATTGAATATGTATGTCCACTACATATGTCCTCAGAATCCTTTATAAGGACTTGTTATGATTCTGAAAGGTGGGGGAGATTACATTTTTTATGAATTAGGTTTTAATCCAAGTATTACATGTGGTAGAAAAAGTGAAAATACAGTTTAATGAAAAAGAAGATAAATCTAAAATTCTCCACTGCTTTCCCCCAGAGACAGCAGCTGACATCTGCCTGGTGGTTCATGCTCTTCCCCATCTTTATATTTCCTTAGAAAACAGAATTAGACTGCCGAATTTTCAGACCTTCAAATTTCATATATTTTAACTTTTTTTCATATCAATAAATATACCCAGTCGTGTAATTTTCAGCTGCTAAATGCCAGGAACATTCCTTACGGTCCCACGGCATATCGGCTCTTTCTGCTGGGGATTTAGGGTGTTTCCAGTGTTTGGTTATTACGGACAACACTGCGGAGAGCATCCTTGAAAACAAATCATTGTGCACATCCGCTCTTGCTTCCTTAGGATAAATTCCTAGAAGTGGAATTTTTAGTTGAGACACTGCCCAGTAACAGACATTTGAAATGTGTCGCTGGACCGTTCGTGGGGAAGATCATGACTGCTGACCGCCAGCAGCTTGAGCGGGGGGGAGGGG